CGATAGACGTATACGTACGACGTCATCTAGAACGCTGGTTGACAGCGATCTTGCATAGTCAGTGTCGCGACGCCGGTGCGGCAAGCCTGGGGCAAGATGACGTACAAGTGGCTTGCAGCCCGGTGCCGTGATTTTAGATGATGTGCGGAGGGACACGCGCCTAGCTCTGCCTGCCACGTAGCTGCGGTCCTCATCCTCCGCTGCCCCTGATTCTGCCTTCCTGCTAGAACTCCACTGCGCCTAGAAGGAGACGACCACTGCGCTGATGCCTATCTCCACCTTCCCATGGTGTTATCTGACACCTGCGCTTTATAACCACCAGCACATGATGTTAACGTTGTGTTGATATTGTTAGCCATAAGCCAAACTGCGATCAATAAATATCGATCAGTTATGGATTACACATGTGAAGAAAAGTGGAAGAAGGTATCCGAAGTGTGCGCTGCACTACTGCGCACAACTTGCTACATAACGAAACACAGTAAGTAAAGTTGGCTTTATGCCATCTACACAATCTACGAACCTAAACTAGCAAACCTACGGGATGGTTTCCTCGCCTCATTAGGGGCCATCGGTGCCTCGAGCCCCTTCACTCATGCACTGCGCGTTAGCCGGGGTGCGTTCGTCACGTCCGGGCGCGGAGCACAGAGGAGTGAAGGTTCCTGTCCTCCATACCATAGATCCTTGTCCAAGGTGTCCATTCCGTGAGTGCGCTGCGCCCCAAGGGTCGTCCGGGGGACGGACGACGGCGCTCGTAGAACATCTCGCGAATACCACTGCGTCCTCAATCTTCTGCGCAGGAATGGCAGCTGCGCTTGAGATAAAACCAGATGCGGGACGAAGGGACGAAGGACAGGGGACGGCCTTAGCCGACAGTTGCGATGGCAGATGAGGGGATGACGATAGGGAAACAACTGGGCAGGACGAAGGAAGCGAAAACGACTGACGATCGAATGTGCGAGAAACTTCCAGGCCCAAAAAGTGGCGTGGGCCAATCCTTCCCTGCGCGTCGACTTGTGCGCGTGAAGACCCAGTGCGGACTCCTGACGACTCGGCCCTTTAAGATGGCTTGCGGACCGACTTGGCGTCGAGAGAAGTGTAAGAGCCGTGACGGCGTACATTGTGCGTAGAGGTCATACGAAGGTTACGACAACACGTGGCATTTTGCTAATACATGTTCACGTTTCTTCGACGTGTTCGGCCCTTGGACTACGACTTTTTACGAAGTAAGTTATCGAAGCGTTTCGCGTAGTTATCGCTTTCTAACAGCAACTAATATCTTTAGAAATTTGAATGACTCACGCTGGCTTTGACCTGGTGTCGCGACGCCGGTGCGGCAAGCCTGGGGCAAGACATGACAGATTACGACGTGGCTTGCAGCCCGGTGCCGTGATCTTCACAATGTACGGAGGGACACGCGCCTGTCGTGGCTCCGGGAGGAGCGTTGTGCCGGGCAACGCTAGGATGCTGGACGGCTCGGAGTGCCACTGGCACTCGGCAGTATGGTCCGGCATACTGTCCCGTCCTGTCGGAGCGCTGGCAAGCCAGCGTCCGCTACACCGGATGGACGCTGCCGGCTGCAGGCGCCAGCAGTGCGCCACTTACCGCCGACGACCCGATGGATGGACGACGCGATGGCTTGGTACCTCCAAGCCCGGCAGAGATAAGAAGAGTAGGTCGTCAACTTATTGCCGCCAATATCCGCCAATAAATGTAAGTATATTTAATTGTAGTTGTTGTAGTTGGGTTGTAGTTTGGGGAGCGCCAGGGCAGGGGCCCGACTAAGGCGCAATAGGTTTTTCTTGTGCTGTTATGTTGTGGGTTGGTAGCCGGGGCAAGGGAGCCCTCGGCCCTTGGGCTGGGAAAGCCCGGGCCGTCGGTGGGCCTTGCCCCCGCGGGTTACCGCTTACCGCGACCCTTAAACCCCCCTTCCCTGGGTTAGGAACCCGTGACGCCCCGGGGAGCGGAGGCCATGCTTGCGGGAAACAGCATGGTCCCCGGGAAGGACCCGTAGGATGACGTGTGCCTGGGAAAGGCCACGAGGGCTCCCGAACCACCTCGATGCGTCGTGTTGGAGGGTTAGGAGGGCAACCGCTCCCGAACCACGACATTGCTGAAAGCCTGGAATAGCGGAAATCGCTGGAATTGTTGATACAGCAAAGACTGAGCTGGCCCTTCGAAGACCTATCCCACATCTCTGGCCGTAACCCTTTCCTGAGCACAACCCTGACCTGATCCTTACCCACGACCTAACCCTATCCTAACCCTACCCAACACCAACTTGACCCTGGCTAACCCTGAGACAGAGGGCTTTGCGATTCCATCGTATAACTCAACCTGTTTTCAGATCGCCCTAATCGCGGAAATAGCTTTCGGGAAATTGGTGCTATTCGTTCGAATCACAACTGTGTCTCTCGTAGTCTGAAGTATAGTATTGCCCGACCAGTCGCACCACGTGGGAATGGCTCTCTCCCTCTCGCTGGTCCTTTTGTTATCTGATATCAAGAATGTTGCTGATGCTGCATTTACGACACCCTGATCTACGGGTACAGTCCATACGTCTGATTAGGCGTGTCTGCGGATTTGACGTGGCGGCCGCCGCACTTGATAGAACTAGCATGGATAAGCTGTTTCCAGCTCACTTTGCTGAATTCTAGCAATCCGTAGACCTTCCTGATCGGACGGCCAGATATGGAGTATAAGAACGTTTAGATGGCTCATCAATAAAGACTCGAATAATTATCAAGAAATTATCGGAGGAACAGTACCGCGATCGAACCTTATCTAAAGAGATTTGGCCCAGCGTAGCTTGGTAGCTGTCATCGTCCTGGCAATTTATGGCTAAACCGTGGAATAAAGGGGCAAAAGTCATTTTGCCCATGGCTCACATCACCAAGCTTTCGTCGCAATGGCGCCCCGTTGATGGATGTTTAAAAATATTGCCAAAGTTGTGACGTCACCTGCTGTCAACGTCAAGCTCAACGAGGCCTACCGTAATTGCTCCAGCCTGGTGTTGCTTCATAATTTATTCAACCGATCAAATAACTCACAGGTAGTGGCTCTGAATACACGGACAGACAATGACTCCAATACAATCACATGGAAAGCCGCTGTCAATTAGGAGGACACGAGAAGCCCCCTCCCCCCCCGGTATCCTCCTTAACCATAAGGCTACCGGACGATGCAGCGTTTCTCAGTTCTCACCGAAGAGTATTCTCAGGCCATCTGGCATAGCCGTCCCTGCCCGGCCTCCCGCCCGCCGTCTGACGTCAGCCCTTTAGCACGAAAATCGTTGGCGTTGAGGAGGGCAGCATCGACGAGAGACGCATCAAAGCCGAAATCAATG